TCACAGAGTGTGCACCCCAGTGATCGGTGTGTGTCACCCGGACATTAACTCTGTGTTTGGGAGATCACGTGATGTTTTACCATGTGACTGCTGTAACCAATCAATGTGAGAGCAGAGAGAAGCAATCCTGCAGTGTGTTTATCAGGCTGCTTGTACACTCACACATTGCAGTGCAAGCCACTCTAGTGCCCCAATTTAGTGTCCCATGTGTCCCTGATCACTGCCCCATAATACTCATAATGAATAATGCAGCCAGCCCCTGTCACCTGTCCCAGTGCACACAAAACACCACTATACACCATACCAATGTCCTGATCACAGCCATATCAGTGTTCTGATCACCGCCATACCCCAAACCAACACCCTGATCACTGCCATATGCCATACCAGCATTCTGATCACTGCCCTACCCCTCACCAGCATCCTGACCACTGCCATACCCCAAACCAGATTCCTGGTCACCACCATACCCCATACCAGCACCCCGATCACCCACAAACTCCATATCAGTGTTCTGATCACTGCCATAACCCACACCTGCGTTTTGATCATCGCCATACCCCTATACCAGCATCCCAATCACCGCCATAGCCCCATATCAGCATCCTGATCACTGCCCTACCCCATGACAGCATAAAGACTACAGCCAGACCAGCATCCTGAGCACTGCCCTACCTCATGCTAATGTCCTGATCATCACCATACCCCATACCAGCATCCTGATCACTGCCATACACCATACCAGAATCCTGGTCACTGCCATACCACATACCAGCACCCCGATCACCCACAAACTCCATATCAGTGTTCTGATCACTGCCATAACCCACACCAGCGTTTTGATCACCACCATACCCTATACCAGCATCCTGATCACCGCCATACCCCATACCAGCATCCTGATCACTGCCCTACCTCATGACAGCGTCACGACTACTGCCAGACCAGCATCCTGAGCACCGCCATACCTCATGCTAATGTCCTGATCATCACCATACCCCATACTAGCATCCTGATCACTGCCATACGCCATACCAGCGTCCAGCATTTTAACATCTCAACTGATCAATTTTCAAATATATATCCCATAGTTTCTAGACTGTATAGCTTTCACACAGACTAAATAATATAAACTATGTAGGGTGATTATTACCCTAAAAATGTAGTAGAATACATTTTGGCTTAAATTTATGAAGAAAAATTATTTATTTGCAAAATTTTATAACATAAACTTAGCAAAAAAGTTATTTTTTCACTTACTGTATATAGCAAAAAATAAAAAACCTAATGGTGATCAAAACTCTATCTTTTGTCAAAAACAGGATACAAATTTCATATGGATACAGTATTGCATGACTGAGTAATCGTCAAAGTGTGATAGTGCTAATAGCTGAAAATTGGCCTGGCCTAGAAAGGGGTGAAAGTGTCTGAACCTGAAGTGGTTAAAGGGCTGGGAGGCAGTCAGTGGAAAGGAGTTAATAACTTTTAAACCTAAAAGAAATAAAGTGCAGGTAAGACAGTTCTCAATGTGCATTTTCGTTGTATATTTAATGGTTTGCCTGGGTTTAGCAGTAAAGCATACAAAGCAAAAAATATTTTTTCCAGTCTGTGATGGGAGTCACTTTGGGTGGGGGGGGCCCATGGAACACAGCCCCCTTTGAAGGGGTGGGGAGACCCCTGTCTCTGCTCCCCATATCCCTCTTATGTGTAAGTCACCCTGTGCCTGTTTGGGGTACAGGGTGAAATGTCCTGCTATTGTGTAGACATGTATAGGTGGGGGTTGTTCATTTTTCAATGCCGTGTGGTTGTCCCATTGTTCTATTGTGTGTCTTGCTTGGGAGCAAACTATTATGGGATGTATGTGTTTGTGTAATGGCTTGGTGGGGGGTGTCTGCTGTGTGTCTCTTGTTACTAAATGTATTGCCCTGCCCTGTGTATATATCTTGTATCGGTGTTAAAATAAAGCAGTCTTTTTTCTGGTTTCCTTCAAGTCTGGTGCTGTCTCCTCTTGTATGGTCAGAGGTTGTGTCCGTGGATTAGTGTTCAGACAGGGAAGCGGGAGTCTACGGAAACACCCTAGTGCAGTCGGGGTCCTGTTCCGTTACACAGTCTGTTTGCAGGAGGGCCTGTTATACAGTCCATTGGCTAACTGAAAGAAGCTCAGACAACAGGCTACAACAGCTCAGCATGCAACAGGAGCTGTTCCTGGCAGGATCTACAAATGAGAAGCTTTTCAACTCTTTAAAGCAGACTAAACTCTCTCAATCAACAGATCAACATTAACTAATTTTAATCCTTATGCTACAAGCTTTAGTAAATATGGTAGATAGGAAGGTATATTATAGTTACTTGTTTTAAACTTTTTTGTACATTTCTTCAGTTGCTTCCTGGTTTATAGTCTATGCCAAAATTATGTCCTACATTCAAGGCGTCTTCATGAACATTTCTTTTTTCTTTCATCTGGAGAAGGGGAGGAGGGGGTTTTCTACCTGTGTGCCTGAGTTAAGGGCAGGTGGATTCTAGTACTTAAATTCCACATGAATCACCTGTCGTTACTCAAGATGGCAGCAGCAAGAAATGCTAGGTGGGTGTTTTTCAAAGTGACTTCTCTACAAAATAAAGCATGGAGACATGGATACATGGTGAGTTTGCTTTGAATATTAAAAATGTAATAAATGTAGGGTTTTTTTTTTTTTTTTAGTGCTCAGATACAGTTTAGTTCTACTTTTAAGTGTATGTCAAACCAAAATATTATTACATACACTTTAACTACAGTAGAAAAAGCTTGAATAGAAATGTCTTTTCACCACACAAAAATACCCAGAAAAGCAACCCTTTAAATGGCAAGCTGGAATAAACTATAATGCTTTTTTTTTTTACTTCTGTGACTTCATGGGGAGTTCACATTGCATGTTGTCATACTGTCCATACAGTCTGGAGGTATGTCTTTTGTGTAAAGTGAAACTGTATATAAAACAGAACAACCCTAAAATAGTATATTTGGTTTAATAGTGCAGTACATAAGCACATTAAGTAGAGTTCTCCCCATAAAAATGTACTTTATGGCTAAAGCCTCATACACATGATGAGAAATATCGATTGAATGATCGTCATTTTTTTTTTTTTTTTTGCACTCTACTCTCATACCAAAAGTGAAGAAGTTACTAAAGTTCTGAAAATTCTCGTACGACAGAATACAACGTCAGACGTTATGTACATATTGTATTGCATTGTAATGTATTCTTTTGTTTCCAAGCATGCACGGTCTTGGTCAATAATTTTTTTGGGATGAATACTGTACTGATTTAACAAAAATGGTCTGCTCTGGTATCATTTTTTTTAATGCTTGTCCCTTGTCATGATCAGCTTTCAAAAACTGTACTAATGATCAGATTATTGGACCACTGCTCCGAAAGCGGTATTTTTCATCTGATTTTCTCATCGTTTGGGCAGCACAGTGGCTAAATGGTTAGCACTTCCGCCTGGCAGTACTAGGGTTGCTGGTTCGAATCCCAGCCACAGCACCTTCTGCCTGGAGTTTGCATATTGTGCCTGTGTGGGTTTCCTCAGGGTACTCCGGTTTCCTCCCACACTCCAAAGACATGCTGGTATGTAAACTGGCTCCTGTCTAAATTGTCCCTAGCATGTGTATACCCCTTGAGGGTTAGGGACTGATGGTAATGTACAATATATATGTAAAGCGCTGCGTAAATTGACAGCGCTATATAAGTACATGGAATAAATAAATAAATACTAGGCTTAACTTTGGGTGCCCTCCTCCCCCTAGCTTTAAAATCCCTGGTTCCACATAGGTGCTATTTTACTTCTAAAAACTGTGTGTAAATTGCATTAGCATCCAGCAACTGTGTGCAAATAGCTTTACATGGCCTGTGCTAATACAGCAAATGACAATTATTTTAATGTAAAAATCGATAGAAAACATAAAGCTGTCACAGCGAATGTAAGTCAGTCTCTTTACTCATTTAGCATTTTTCCTTGAGCCAGTAATCACCAAACCCTCTGTGACATCCTGTAAATGTAACGCTTGTAACGACAGATATGGTGATCTTGATAATCAGAATTTGTTTTATTTGTTCAGATTTAAAAATATTATTAATCCACGTTGAAATAAATATTTCTCTGTAACAGTAATTAGATTGAAGTGCAATGCATTTACTGCTAACACAAATGAATGCAGACAATAATCCAGGGGTCAGAGTACATTAATTAGATGAATCCTGTAATGTTGTGAGGAGTTAGAGTCACACATTTGTCTTCACACAATCTGTAAAACAAAACCAGCCCACTCGATTTAGTACCTGACGTCTCATGCTGTTCCCATGGTTTCAATGCAAGGGAGAGATGACCAGATTCCAATTATGTGCTCTTCAGTGACATATTACAATGTCGCAAATGGGGCAATTTAAGGGAGCCTAGTAGAAAAGCCAAGGATATAAGTGGTGATTTATACACCTGTACTGAATGAAACTGAAATGGAGGAATTCAGAAAATTCTCAGAATATGAAAAATAAACGTCTATAGAGTTTTACCTCCACTTGCGTTCTTTCCATAAGTCATCAGGTCTCTAGTCAATAACATTCAAAGGTACGATAATTGCCTTTTCACCAAACATTATCTGGGTAACAGTAGTGACCACAATTACCCTTCTAATTCTAACAGAATTTTTTTTATTTACAAATGCAGTGACAGAAGTTTGTCTTTTTACTATTTGTATACCACTTTTCTAATGAGCTGTATGCTAAAGCTAGATTTATTATTTTTGCAGGTTACACCATTTATGTGACTCTTTAAATGATTGTGTTTTTGTGTTTTTCAGATGAAAGCATCATTCATTTTTTAATGATATGTTACTTAACCTCCCTAGCGGTATGATTCTTTCCGATTTTTTGTGCTGAAAGCGGTACCATTTTTTCGCATGGAAATAGTTTTTTATTGTAGGCTGTAATTTTTAGGAAAATTTCCTCACAAATCATTATCACTCAATTCTGCAAGTGGTTCTGATTTACTATCGCTGTTCTCTAGCTGATCTAAAACCGCTTTTGACGTAAAGGGACACTTTTTGGACGCCATGGACGTTTCTCAGTTTCCAGGCAGAAAGAACAGACAAAATGCAGGCAGGGCACAGGACAAAGCACTAGGGACAATATGTATGTGAAATGGGATGAAACAGCAATGTTTTACTATGTAAAATAAAAAAAAAAAAATGACGTTTTTTAAATTTTTTAAAATTTCCCGCCGCTGGCGGCGCCCGTATGTCCCGACGTCACGGGAACCGGAACACAGAAGCCGGATGCCGGCATCGGCCGGAGGAGATGGCCGGGGATGCTGCAGGGGACACATCGAGGGAACGAAGGACAAGGTAAGTGCTGCAGGGACTCCCTATGCAGCGCCGCATGGTAAGCCCGAGTGTAGCTCGGGGATAACGCTTGTGGTACTGAAATTTTACCCCGAGCTACACTCGGGAAAACCGCCAGGGAGGTTAAAGTATATGTTTGGATTTTTAACACTGGCTGATGAAACTTGCATTGTTGAACTGGTACCTTCAGAAAGCCATACACTTGTACACTCACACATGAACTAACTAATGCCCTTTACTTGACTAAACCGTGGTCATTACTGTAAAATATGAACAGTTTTGCAATTTTAAACTTATTCACAAGAGCATAATCATATTACTCGCCTATTTTGTTTTTTGCAAGAGCTATCGATCTGAAACCCACACTGCAGTATGGAGGTATACAATTGAATTTATTTTCTAAGACAGAAGAAATTAGCCAAGGGGTTAAAGATAGCAGAAAATAATATGGTGTAGAATATACATAGATTGGATGAACATGTTAGGCTACGTTCACACTAGTGTTGTGTACAGGCGGCAGAGAGGCAATTGGGAAGCGTTAGAACAGCACATGGTGCAATTGGGAAGCGTTAGAACAGCACATGGTGCTGTTCTAACGGGAGCGTTAGCATCGCTTTGAGGCAAAACAGACGTTTCTGGTCGAGTCAGGAGGCGTTGAAGTCTCCTATTCTAGTCTATGGTGCTGCTTCGCAAACGTCTGGCTGGCGTTTGCAGTGCGGTTGCGACGCAGTTGCAGGGCATTTGCGGAGCGGTAACACACCATTCAAACTTCATTATAGGCATTTGTGGGGCGTTTTTAACGCTCGGCAAATGGCTAGCAACTGCGCTAAACCGCGCATGCGGCGTTTGTGGAGCATTTGTCAAGCGTAAAAAAACGCTCCGCAAATGCTGGACCAACGCTTGCCAAACGCTATAGGGGCATTTGGCAAGCATTGCTAAATCAGTCAAGTGTGAACGAGCCCTTATAGTGAGGGAAGGGAGTAGATCTTCACATTGCCATGTTGCCAAGAGTACAGGGGGTTTGCAAGCTGATGGTGAAAATCCAGACTCTGTGGAGCTTTGAGGCTCCTTTCCTAAATAATCAGTGCTGGGATACATATGCATTTTACTGTCTGGTATCACCAATTTTTTGGTCAACTTGGGTGACTGTAGTTGGGGGAGGGGAATACTATAAAATACTAGCCTGGTAAAATACTTGTACTGGCTCTATTGGAGCTGATTTTCACATCTTGCAGTTGATGTTGCAGTCCCTGCAGAATTAATGGGGATGGCACTCAGCATACAACACACCCGGAATTGTTGGATGCTGAAGATTCCAAATATGAAGGTTGGACTCAACAGAGACCGTAATGGTATATCAGGCAACTTTGTTTACATCTTTTTTTTTGTAATGTCATTTTAAAAGCCCCACATACTGTGACAGTTATGGCAGTGATATAAGGAAAAAAGAAAAGAGGAATTTTGCTCAAAGTAGGGACAGCAAAATAAAGTAGAAATAGGCAAGGGGAACAATTATTCACATATTATTTTTCACTATTTTCACTTCTTAAGGCAACTAGCGATATTTTTTGTGATTTGAAACCTGAAAACTTTTAAAGTGTATCCATCCTCAAAAGTTTAAATCATATATTCATAAAAATGAATGTGCTTCCCTGTCTACTCTACCTTCTCCAAATGCTTCCAATAGCCATTCCACCAAAGTTTTCCCACCTGTTTTTTTTGGACTGATTTCCCCCCAGAATAAAAGCTGATATACTCCAAAGGGAGAATTAGCTTCCCTGACCCTATTCGATATCACCAAGCTGTCCACCTAGCTGGGCTTTTAGACTGGTGTAAGAATACTACAACCAAACAATGGGTACTTCTGGAACAGTCAATGTCTCCTAATAGGCACTCTCGTGGATACCGAATTCATGCCCCACCACTGTTAAAGGTCATCCAATCTAGGAGCTACTCTCAAAACTATCTTTAGAACCCATAGTCTAGCTATCAGCCCATCAGCTTATTCTTCTAAGTACCCATTGATCAGCAACCTTTCTATTATTCCTGTCCTTTATGACCCCACTTTTTTTCTCTTTTATTGAATAAAAATATATTCAGACTGCAGTATTTCAGGGATGACAGTGGATGGAAATTTATCTCAGCCATCTAATCAATGATCAATCCATCGCTGCCAGTTTGACAGGCCTTCCAGATAAGACACGTCCTACTCTCTTTTCAACCTAAACCAACTTCCCCTTCTGAGCCAACAATGTTTGAATCCAGGGGCGGACTGACAATTCATGGGGCCCCCGGGCAATAGGGGATCATGGGGCCCCTGTGTCCTTGCCCACACTCAAAGCACACCCAAAAAAGCCTATAAAAATGGTACTAGGGGCATTTCATGGGGCCCCCTACTGACTCCGGGCCCTCAGGCAGTGCCCGAGTGCTCAATTGGTCACTCTGCCCCTGTTTGAATCCATTTATAAGAACCTCTCCTCACTTCAACACGGTCTCTCAGTTGCCTACTACACTTGTTTCACCCCCTAAGGCTCATCTCCCCCATTTCTTGATTGGATAATTGCAAGCCCACCTACACATATCCAACCGTGTTGATATCAACAATTTACATCAGAGCAGAGAGATTTTGTTCTTGATTTTGCACACAAATTCTCTATTTCCTCGAGGTTGCAGTAATCGAAATAGAACTAGATGAATACTGCTAACTAAATGGTACCATGTTCAAGCTAGACTGCACCATATTCTCCCAAACATGAATCACACTTTTTGGTCTTGCCCACAGATCTGCCCCTTTTGGCAGAGTGTCTGTGATTTGATCTCAGAATGGACGGATCTATCGCACATTAATAAATTAGCAGCTTGCTTATTACATTTAAGTTCCCTTTCTAAATAGAAGTCACTCACTAGTAGTTCACCTTCTCAACACAGCCAGAGGGTGTATCTTGGTCAGCTGGAAATCCAAACAGCCCCCTATGGTAAGTCAATGGATCAAAGTGGTAAATTACAACATGAAAATAGAGGAATTCACATTATTGCTCAGGAAACAGAAGGACCACTTTCAAAGGATGTGGTTCTACTTGACCTAATTCATATACTCTGAAAAATATAGATCTCTGTTAGAGAGCAGCTTTTCTTGAGTTGGAGTGTAGGACACCAAGACGTTTCTTTTATATTACCTTGTTTATCCTCCTCCCCTCCCTCTCATTTCCTGGAAAATGCTACTCCCCTCCTTTCTTCTGTACCCTCCCCTCCCTATGTTTAAAAATGCAATGGGGCAGAGTTCTTTCCCACCCATCTGGAGAAGCACATATTCTCTTAAATAAGGGACTTATAATGTAGGGTCACACACTGAGTGACCCTTTCATAGTTGTTCCATTTATATTTGGACTGTAGTTGTCACTTGTGGAAGAGCCATATAAAATGTTGTAAATGGCAATTGTAAACTGTGGTTCCCGCTTTATTATGCTGTAATATACAGTGAACTTGATATGCCATCACAATTAATAAATAAATAATTTTAAAAAAATCATATATTAGTTTCAACATTGTAGTTCCATTTCTAGTCTACTTCTAATATTCTGAATGATCCCAAAGTCCATAAACTTACTTTTTGAAAAATCCCCACAGATTTACTTAATTGAATTCTGTGACATGTACTCACTGTGCCCTGTGAGTAGGCACAGCTGTGTCACACATTTCACAGAGCCTTCCTTCTGAACTACAGAGGTGCTGAGAGGAGGAGTTTCAGGAGGCTGAGTCAGTACAGGAATCACTGCATGCAGGCAGCAAGCAAGGAATCATGGGTTATGAAGTTTGCAGAGATTAAAAAGGAGAAGCTTCAAAGCATTCAGGGAATCCAGCAAGTTTTGGAAAGAGATTGACAGCAGACAGGCAGCACTCACAACATGAAAGGAGATATTTCAAGTAACCCTTTATCGGATTGTCAATCATAACTATTATTTGCATTACAGTCAGGGGCGGACTGACAACTCATGGGGCCCCCGGGCAATAGGGGATCCTTGCCCAAACTCAAAAAAAGCCTATGAAAAAGTTACCAGGGGCATCTCATGGGGCCCCCTACTGATGCCGGGCCCTCGGGCAATGCCCAAGTTTCCAAGTGGTCAGTCTGCCCCTGATTACAGTTAAAATGCTGATGTAACAAAATCAGATTGTATGCTGTGACAATAAATCTCCTTTAAATAAAAGATCGTCCTAAATTGATTGTAAATGATTTTTTTTAAAATAACAAACATCTCTATATTTAACTGCTCTATGCAATGAAATTGCATAGAGTGGCCCCAAACTTCTCCCCTCTTCTCAGGTCCAATACCCCCTTGTGTGTTCTCGCGCCCGAGTCCTGCTGCTGCATATATTGACACAAACAGCGGGAGTTGCCCTCCGCTTCCTATTTACTGGCTTTGATTGACAGCAATGGGAGCCAATGGCTCCTGGTTCCCTGGCAAAGCCATTGAGACCCAGAAGTGAGGGGAGAGAATAGCTGCAGACATGCATAGCACCGGATCGAATAAGTAACAGGGGGGAGGGGCCAAAACTATTGCCCAAGCATTTTTTACCTTATGCAAGGAATACATTAAGGTAAAAAAAATGTTTAGTCTTTACAATCACTTTAATATATAATTAAAAGGAAATACTTTTTTTTTTCGTTTTGGATTGAGTGGAGAGGGATTAGAACTCCATCAGTTTTTTAAATTGCTTTTTCTGCCCTCTTAAGAAGATTCAACATTATAATTAAAAGTGAAAGTAAAAGAAAATTTTGGGTTGTCCCCAGGACAGTAGTAGAGGGTAAATCTTCTAATGGGGACACCTGTTCTGGTGACCCTGGACACAACCAGAGATGCATTCATTTTGGAGGGATTTCCTCTCACTTTCTGTTTTGGCTATGGGACAGGAAGTGAAGGGAAATCTGCACAATGGGACACGGATGACAAAAAAAAAAAAATAGGGGTTATAACCACCCCTTA